GGCAATCGAAAGAAATCCCAGTCAAACGACATTGAAGAATGCCTACCATCTGGCGGGAGCCAAGAGGTGTTGGCTGCTGTTGAGGCTGAACAACCTCCTCATTGGCATCGATCCCATCGTCAGCAACAGTGGCATGCCAGCGAACATCAGCAATCTGGGAATTATCCCCATCCAAGACAGCGCTATCCTAGCGGCCCGCATGGTGACATTAACCAAGCGGATTCGAACACCACGCTTCGGCCGAATCCAATGGAATCGCGGCGCGGCGTCCACGGTGACTGGTCCAAAGGTTGTGCTGGTTGGAGGCAGCGATCTTACAGTGGCAGCGACCGCTCAAATGTTGTCTCTGGGCACAACCAAGGCGTTCCTTCGATTTCTCGGGGTCGTGGTGGTGGTAGCTCAGGCATTACATACTCAGAGGCTGATGATTCCGTTTTTCGAGGTTCTGGGCGCGGTCGTTATGGACGAAACAATTTTCCGCACCGTGGTTTCACGCCTCGTTTCCATCACTCTAGCTCCGGTGTATATCGGCCCTCTCTATTTGTTGGTGTGTCCAATCCGCTAAATGAATCAGAAGATTTCTGGCAAGATGATGACTGGTTTTCCTCGGAAGTCGATCGGGATGCCCAGGCTGCCGTAAGCGTTAAACCACATTTACCATCTGGTACCAAACATGATGTCGTCGCTCCGCCAGTCCCGTGCTCGTTTTCGGGCACACCCTCTTCAACCAATGTGGGTGCTGCAGAACCCTGTACAACGAAATCTTACTCGGAGTCCTGCTCTGTTGGTCCTCCACCTGGCTTCGATCTACCGCCTAAGCAGCTCATGAGTATTGCTGATGGAGAGCGCCCTGTCAACGTTTTCTCATCTACGTCCACCCATGATGATACCAGTCATCTGCACTCGTCTGTGTCAACCATCGATGTTTCAAACTCTGCATGGTATTACATTGACTCTACGGGACAGACTCAGGGTCCGTTTGGGAATCAACAAATGTCAACTTGGCTGGCGAGTGGTTATCTGCCGTTATGTATTGAAATTCGTCGGGAATGCGATGAATGTTTTCTCACTTTGGTTGATCACATGAGCTTGGCGGGCCGTGTTCCTTTCTGGGGCGGGTACAACCAGCCACCGATTACCCGATCCAACCTCCCCTCAATTTTGATGTCAGTTTCGAGACGAATACCTGTTCCGCAATGCCTAAGCCACACACCGCCACCTCCACCCACATCGGTTGTGGCACAACAAATCCCACACATCCAACCCCCTGCGCTTCTACACAATCCGCCATCCAACACAGATGTCGCTCCCGCTGCTGCACTGCTCTCCGCGGCAGCTGAACTGGCTTCTGGAGTACATGCAGGAGTTGACGCCTCACCCATTGTGTCGAGTACAGTAACCGAGCCTGTTTCTCAACTTCCGTCGCTGTCTCCTGCTGGTGGCTTTGGCGCAGTTGATTTTTCCAATACCGGACCCACGGATGCGTCGGCCGTCCTATCCGGCGGGAACTCTGAACTTGAGCATCTGTACTCCGAAGCGCAAGTGTTGGCCTCACATGTTGCCAAGGTAGGACGCGGAGGCGCAAAGAGTTGGCAGCTAAGCTGGCCGCGATCAGTTTGACTGCAGTCAAGTTGTTGACCGGTCAGTCTCCACCCATTAGTGGGGATGCAAAAGTACGCGGCGATGCGGACACTGATTCTCTAAATGCAGTTTCTCCTTCCTCTTCCGCCGACCCAGCCCTACAGTCAACTAATCAAAACGTTGTGGCACAAGAAATGAACCCGGTTTCCGCTCTTTTTGACTCCGAGACACGTGAAGAGTGTTTCAATGGTTTTGCAAGCCAATACCCTCAGGAGTATCCCCAGAAGCCGACTGTCAGCGAGAAAATTTTCGAAAACACCTCCGAACATCCGCTCGCCGAAGCCTCCCTGGACACTTGTGTGAAACAACCTGCTGACTCAACTGCTTTCACAACAAAAAAGAATAAAAAGCCTAAGAAAACAAAGAAAAAGCTCACTTCGGAGCAGGAACGACAGCTTGCATGGGACACTGAATTCGCCCGTCGTAAGGCGTCTGCTTTGGCTAAAAAGCTGTCCGAAGAGTCAGAAGCTGCACGAATGGCTGAGGAGGAAGCAGCTTCCTTAGCTGAACAACAAGCTGCTCTGGAAAGAGAGCAGAAACGCATACTTCTTGAACATCGTAAACGCGAAGCTCAACGGGCTAAGGAAGAGGACCAGCTTGGTCAACTCCGCCTACCCCAGTCGGCTCGGTGGGGCATCTCCGCTGCGGACACCGCTTCTAGCGCTCCCAAGTGTGCGAGCCTGCTTTCCACCCAGACTGCCCAAGCTGGAGAAGGGACGGTGGGACAACTTCAGGAAGTTGCTATGACAAAGCAAACTACTAATCAAGCACCCGAGGTGTTTACTAGTCCGATCGCCGCACACCCGCAGACTCAGGTGGCGACAGCGAACTCGGACAAACGCACGATACCAAATCAGTCTGTGGCTGGTAAAAATTCCGCTGTCAAGTTAAATACGCCATCCAAGTTGGAGCCCTCAAACACGCGCAAAGTCCTGGATCGAGTTGACCGGCCCAAACCTCCTGCTGCCTCTTCCCACGTTTCGGCTATCGGTGACAGCCGACGAGTACTAGTGCCGATCTCACCTCCTGATGTGCCCCGCTCTACTGCTGCTTTTTCCTCGTCGCTTCCCGTTACACATCCGATCACCGCGGGCTCTATTTGGGATCTACCGAACGATGGTAAAACTGTAACCGCGATGTCATCTGCTAAAAGCTCCAAAAAGAACAAGAAGAAATCTGCGACGGCGCCACAGTCCACTTCTGAAGGCGTTTCTTTTGCAGCGAAGGAGCAACTCGCACACTGGTGTGAATCACAGCTTTCCTTCATGCCCCTCTCCGGAGTCGATCTTCCCACCTTGGTCGATTTGTTATGCGAATTGGAAGGGACTGATCAGATTGTAGAATTTATCGAAGCATCGCTGGGACGCTCCAAACGAACTTTAAAATTTTCCAAAGCCTTTCTCGAGAAGAGGGCTTGCATACGCGACACTGTGCGCTAAGGTTCCTGCATCACAGTTGTGGGCTGTGCCGCTTTCCATCACTCCCCCCAGAGTTATTTGTCTCTGCATCAATCATTTGCACATCTTACCCCATTCCCAGCTTTTGTTCCAAGTTTATTTACCAGTCCTTTTATCTTTTTCTGTATTTTTCGCCCCTTTCTTTACGTTTCCCTCGCTAACAATGCAACCGTTTACATTTCGTGTCGGCTCTCGTCTTATCTGCCGTATGATCTTGTCTTTCCCTACTCATGACTGATCCACTTGTTTTTTCAATGTCTGCTGTCTCGAGTCGAATGGGTTTGTGTGGGAACACTATGTATATACTTGGTATATTCTAAAAAAAAAAAAAAAAATGGCTGGCTGGCCGAACAACCTCCTCGTGGTGCCAGCTGGGTGGTTCGGGTTTACCCCCTTCCAGCAAATAGTTCGGCGGCAGTGTTCCAGGACGTGGTGGGTTTTCGCCTGGCAAGCGTTCTCCCTATAAAAAGCCACAAAAGTCCGTTTAACAACACTGTGACGTGGCGGTTGTGACTCGCCACTAACTAAAGTCACCCATTGCTTATCCGGACAATCGCTTCAAGTCCACAGATATCAAGCATCCATTTAGCACTGGCGACACCTTCAAACACATTCAAGCAAAACGACAGGAAACATTTACCAATCTCATAAACAAATCTAAACACGCCTACATGTGAACTTACATCCGTTCATACATAAACATATGCAACAATCCCATTGTTCCATTGTACATTAATTGATCACATTTTGTACTCTTAACATGATCATGCCTGCGCAGGCGTGCCTCGCTTAGTCGAGAATATACAATTTATTTATTTATTTAATAGAAGAGCCGGCCTCTATTAACAATGTGTTTACTCACCTGCAACATTATCAATCGACTCTTCGAATCTTGCTTCATTGACCAGCTTCAACGACTGCTGCCGTATCAGAACTAAGCCATTCGGCCAACCAACGAAGAATTTTGGCTGTCAACTGACTGCGAATAATAGAAAGCAAAATCGGTCTATACGATGCATAACCGACTTGCACTACTGTTCACCGAAAGCTACGTCAGTGTTCCAGGATGTGGTGGGTTTTCGCCTGGCAAGCGTTCTCCCTATAAAAAGCCACAAATGTCCGCTTAACAACACTGCAACGTGGCGGATGTGACTCGCCACAAAATAAAGTCACAGCTATGCATTTCACACTGACGCAGTCCTCAGCCTTCTACATCGAACCTGTGCAACTAATTCTGCTATGAACAATGCTTTGTTGGAGCACAGATCATCTCTATCTCGGATCACTACCTGGCGTAATTACCCCCAACTTGTGTTTTGACGGATTTTTGCGCGCCACAGCGCCATAATGTCCCTGGGTCTGACTATTACCTGACAGTATGCTCACTCATACGGACAACATCTTTTCTTTTATAACTTTCATATAAACGAAATGTTTTAACATTCCACAGAAGCTATGCTTGTATGCATATTTGATCACGCCTTTACAGGTGTGTCTCGTTTTACCGAGAATATACTATTTATTTATTTATTTATTTAATTACTCGTCATCCGAACTGGTCACAATTTGGAGAATCCAGACTTATTCGAGTAACAATAGAATCCTCCACCGACGTAAAAAACGTTTTGCTCTCCGCAAGCGTGCTAAAACACGAATTCTGTGGGATACCTATCCATCCCGATGTCCCTTGGAGCGCGCGACAATAAAAAAGAAACACCGAAGAGGAGCATAGCAAGCAAGACCGTCTAAACACAGTATTCATACATGGCGTGCCAGAACATAATTCTAACGATGTTCAAGAGACCGGAAAGCACGATTCAGAACAGTGACGGTTCATACATGAAACACTTTCTTTGGATAATATTATGGCACTATCGCTCACCAGGATACCCTAGAACCCTAAAATCCTTGTTCAGCCAGAGCAACAAGCAAAAGAAGGTGTAGATCGATGGCAGAGAAAGCGAAAACATCTTCCTTCTGAAATTCGGTTAAAGGTTACAAACGCTTTGCGTAGCTCAAATATTAAAGCAATTGAAGCAGCAAGCATACCGACTAAGGTACAGAAGCGTAACTCGACTGCTTCTTTAATTGACTCTGAAGCAGGACTGAATGAAGGTTGGGACGTACCTTGGCGGAATCAATTTGCAGTCGGGGTATCATTATCCCATCAAAAAGCGAGTAACTGCCGACCTCGCATCGATCGTAAATCTCCCACACGCGACCCCTTCACCCCTCTGTGGGCTCCTAGAGACCGAGAAACTCACTGCTTGAATACGAATGCTCTGGGACTTTCTAACAAACTGGATGCAATGAAAGATCGCCAAGCTTCCGCGTCAAATGATGTCAGTGGTATCACCGAGACATGGTTACACACGGGAATGGCGGACGCTGAATTGTCGCTACCGGGCATGTCGCTGGTCCGGAACGACGGGCCCACCAAAGGAGGAAGGGTAATCCTGTATTACCGAAACGCCTTACAGTGCGAAGCCGTGGAGGATTTAAACTCGCGGTTCCCCGACTTGCTTTGGTGCCGGTTGCAGTTAAAGGTAGGGGCGCTTACCTTCTTGTCCTGGTGTACCGCGCCCCTAACTCAACACCCGAAACCGACTACCAAGAAGCGGCTACTTTAAGATGCAGTTTAAAACAAAAGTACACTCACATTCTTATCAGGGGTTGTTTCAACGTACACTGTTTAGAAACGCCCGCCAAGATCGGAGAACAATTCAAAGCCTATCTGCAAGGTCTTGTATCTACTGTTCCTCTTTACGATCACATCACTTTGCCCACTCGGTTCGGAACAGGTAACAGGCCAGCTGCGCTGGACCATGTGCTTAGCAACGGGGAGCAGATGATTGATGTGTTGTTTTAGACTGCACGTTGGTTCGCAGCGATCACGATGTGAGCCGTTTCAACTACGTCTGCTTTGCAGAATATCTGAAGGAGAATGATGAGACTTGCTACGATCGATTGGCCCAGCTAGTCAGCGCTACGACTTGGTCGTTCCTTCCGTAAAAACCCACGGAGGTCGCCTGGCTCGAGTTCGTCAAAAAATTCAGTCACTTGATTTGAGCTGGTTTCAGAAATAAAAGGTTGCTATAAGTGTAAATCAGTTTTTTAAGTTAGGAACAAAACTGGAAAATGGATGACAGTACGCAGCGCAGCAAGACGAGCGTACAGAGAAGCTCCAGCCCAAAATAATTGGGACAACTACGTAGTCCAACCTAACCACTGCGGTCAACTGTTAAGGGAAGACAAAGCCGCCTATCAGCAGAACATCGCAACGACCTTCAGTGCTAACCGCAAACCTCTGCACAAGCATTTTAATAGCCTGCGAAAAATGAGGCAAGGATTTGCTCCAATCAGGACGGCTGATGGCGCAACAAGAACGGCTGTGGATGCAACAAACGCGCTGCACATACAATATCCTCCCACGTTTCGAAGGGTCTTGCCACCAGACGATCTACCGAGATTGTCTTCTCCTTCCAAGGACTAACCCACAACACAATTACCGCGGAGGCTGTGTTGCAAAAGCTGACGTCTCTGCGCAAACACATCACGCCGGGCGTCTACACCATCCGTCCAGAGGCACTAAAAGTAGCAGCAAGCCAACTTGCGGCACATTTAGTTCAGTTTTTCCAGCACTGCTTAGACCAGAACCAAGTTCCCACCATGTGAAAGCTTGGAATAATAACTTCGACTCGCAAAAGTGGAAGCAGAATTGTTCCCTCCAACTACCGTCCAGTATCCCGTTTCCCTATACTCTCCAAGGTCATGGAATCCATAGTTGCCGATGCATTGGTAGGTTAGCTGGAACACTGTTACATCATCACTGCTGAGCAACACGGTTTCCGACGATAGCAGTCATGTACAAGGATTTCACTAATTGCACGCAGTAGTTGGTCCTCGGCTGCTGATGCTAGAGAATGGGTGGATGTGCGCTACCCGGATTTTTCCATGGCGTTCGATCGCCTAGACCATCGGATACTACTATCCAAGCTGCAGCATTACGGGATCGGCGACGCTCTTTTAAGCTGGATTGCCAACTTTCTACTTCAACGGCAATCGGAGGTCAGGGTTCGGAATTCTTTATCGAACCCCATACAAGTTGCGTGTGGTGTGCGGCAAGGCTCAGTTCTAGGTTCACGTTTGTTTTTGATGTATATTAATGACCTTGCGTAAGGAATCGCTTCGAACTTCCTATGTTTGTCGACGATATCAAGGTCTACCGCGGGATCCAAGCGAACACCGACCAACGTAAATAAATAAATAAATAAATTTTGTGTTCTCGACTGAGCGAGGCAAGCCTGCGCAGGCATGCTTATGTTATGAGTACAAAATGTGATCAGTTAATGTACAATGGGATTGTTGTATATGTTTAAATAAGAATGTATGTAAGTTTGCATGTAGGCGTTTTTAGCTTCGTTTATGGGATTGGTAAATTTTTCCCGTTGTTTTGCTTGAATGTGTTTGAAGGTGTTGCCAGTGCTAAATGGAGGCTTCCTATCTGTGGACTTGAAGCGATTGTCCGGATAAGCGATGGGTGACTTTAGTTAGTGGCGAGTCACAACCGCCACGTCACAGTGTTGTTAAACGGACTTTTGTGGCTTTTTATAGGGAGAACGCTTACCAGACGAAAACCCACCACGTCCTGGAACATTGCCGCCGAACTATTTGCTGGAAGGGGGCAAACCCCAGCCACCCAGCTGGCACCACGAGGAGGTTGTTCGGCCAGCCAACCCCGCCAGCCAACATGTGCTTCAGAGTGACCTAGATACGGTGTATCAATGGTCGACACAAAACTTATTGCATTTCAACGTCAGTAAATGCAGGGTACTTTCCATCCGACATCAGGGCAGCTACTCATACCGACTCGGAACGGATGTACTGCAACAATCAACTCTCGAACGTGACTTGGGTGTCCTGGTTCAACATGACTTGGGTTGCTCCAGGCAATCGGAAAAGGCCTCGAAGACCGGGAATCA